ATACCTTTAACCGGTAGCTCATATAAATCCACCATCACTCGTTCCTTTTGTGCTTCCAGCAGCACCCCTTCGTAGCAATGGCCGCACTCTAGATAATCTCCATTAGCAACCTTGACCCGGAAGGGTGGAATTGGCGATGCGGCGAGGCCGAGTCTCTTGGCACTGTCGCTGTTGATGAAATTGTGCGACGATCCGCTGTCGACCAAGGCCACAAGGGTCTCGTTTTGAAGTTTGACGACGAGGCGGATGGTGGTGGCGTTTGAAACTCCGGTGAGCCCAAACAAGGAGACTTCGGCGTCGGGTGGCTCGGGTGGAAGATCTGGTTGCTGAAACTCTTTACGTCGATCACTGGCTCGGGTGGCTTCTTCGGCAATTCGAGTCGCAGCAGCCTGTGTCGCGTGCCCCGGGAGCTGTTCGGAGCTCGGTTCTTTCGAACCGGGCTCTGATACCAATTGGTGCATTATAACTACTTCTACGGCTAAAACGAGGAAAACTAAGTTGTGAGTTCCAATCTTCCCCATCTTATTACCAATGATAAACTTATATAGAGTTTCTACAATCCTTATCCGTAACTTGCAAAGAAAGAAATAGTCCAAATCCAAAGTAGACTAGGAAACCAACTTCCTTAAGACAAATAACAATAGTAACGTGCTTAATCTGCAAACCGCAGGTTGGGCTTGGGCCTCCGATCCGATCGGCGTGGCGGCGGCGGGTCGCCAGGGTCGTCAAGGCCGCCTGCACCATGTCAGCCAGGGGAAAGTAGAAGTGCAAAAGGGTGATAGTAGGTTGGAGGAAATCCGTGGAATGAGCAGTAAAACAAAGGGGAAGAAGGTGAAGGATTTTGTGATGATTTTTTAACCAGGAGGTGAAGAAACCTGATGTGATGAAGGGTAAACCCCAGAAGAAGCCTGAGAAGATGAAAGAGAGGAGAGATTCCAGGATAGTGGAAGATGATGGAAGCTCTACAACAACTAGGAGAAACGAAGAGGAACTCAACTTGACTCATGAAAACAACGGAATTCATTTGGAGGAAGCATCATACAATGTCCAAGATAACAACCAAACGACAATGCCACAGGTAACTGAGCATATGCTCCTTGGGAGCGCAGGAATCTTAAGTCGACTAAAATCTCCGTTCTTTTGGTTTGAATAATGATTTCAGGTTGATGAGTATCAGAAGCCGACTGATGAGAAAAGAACTGTTGTAGAAAGGAGTAACAGTTACAGGTCTTCTGAAACTGGACATTTATCATCAGCATCAGGTGGAAATCAGTTGGATTTCTGTGTATCTTAAAAGTGCATGAGGGTATATGGGTAAGATGTCATCAAGGATTTATGCCATATTCCAAATCCCACATCAACATGTGGGATTTATAAGTCTGTGTGGTCCACAGATTTGGACCCTTAAAATCCGTGGGCCCCACGGATTTGGTTTCCAAAAAAGGTTCAAGCAAACAATGGATTGTACCTAAATCCTTGATAGTTGGTTTTTTTTATACCAAATCCATGTACCAAATCCTTGAAGCAAACGACCCCTTAGTTTATTTCACTGCAATAAAGAAAGAAGCTCTTCGTAGATGTTCTGCTCAAATCTTTATAACCTTTTGGCAGTCCTTGATCCCTCAGAAGAAGCATCTCTCGGAGACTCAAATTAACCATTCCAGGTGAGGGTGGTATTACGATTTGCAACTGGTCAGAGAATTATTGATCTTAATTGGGCTTTTCAAAATTTACCATGTTCTGATTCATCCACACTTACGTGACAGGTCAGAGAATTACCAGACCAGATGGAGGTAGATGAACCCCTACCAATGACTAGCAGTAGCTCTGAAGAACTCCAGGTAAAATTTAAACACTTTATTTCCAGCAAGAGCATGAAGTTTCTTCACCAGGACCAAATAAGTGATCTGGACAGTGCATTTCATCAGGTGAATGATGCCAAGATAAGAAAATGGTGCCAGGGAAGGAAGGAAACATACGATCCCTGCTCTCAACTCTACAATATGTAAGTGTTTCGGACAAATCTTTCTCCCTTCTATTCGAAACTGGAACCAGTCTGAAACGCTTATGAGGTGGGTTTTGGAGACCATGATTGCTCGAATGTGTGTTCTGCGAATTCAGGCATTATAAGTGGATGGCGTAAATCAGTAGATTGCTAAAATGCAGGTTCTTTGGCCGGGAAGTGGGTGGAAGCCGGTGCCTTTGATGGACATAATAGAGGGGAATGCAGTGAAAGTGTGAAACGATCATACCAGAGAGCCTTACTCTGTCTCCACCCAGATAAGCTTCAACAGAAAGGTGCCACTCCAGAACAGAAGTACATTGCCGAGAAGGTTTTCGATGTTTTGCAGGTCAAATTTCTTCTCATTTGGTTCCCTTTTTTCTTCTCAAGTTGATGAAGATTTTTGGTTCAACAATTTCAGTAAAAATGTTGGTTTGATCATATTTGCAGGAAGCGTGGACACATTTCAATTGACTTGGTTCTGTTGTGTGACCGACTGATCGAACCGGGTTATTAATCCGGCAGAGTCTTCTCTGTGTAATGGTGTAGTTGTTTTAGCGAAGAGGAGTGGCATAACATTTTTCATTGTTGCCATACCTCAACTGTATAGATTTTGAAGTGGCATAAGGTTTTTCAGGAATTGATGGTTTTGAAAATTGGCAATATCAACCACAAGTGGCCAATGTTGTATCTAGGGCTGCAAACGAGCCGAGTCGAGCCGAGTTTTTCTTAGCTTGAGTTCGGCTCGTTTATATATATTTCAGCTCGAGCTCAGCTAGAACTTGAATTTTGATAATCCAGCTCGAGCTCGGCTCGATTAAAAATGATTCAGCTCGAGTTCGACTCGGTAGAGCTCGATAAATGCTCATTAACACAGCTTGTCAAGTTGAGTACAAGCTTAGCTCAAGATGAGCTCGATTTGAAATCATTTTTGCTGAAAAATGTGTACAAAATAATTTAAATGATAAAAAGAGCACTTTAACTAAAAAGAACATCTAACTTTCATGCACATACGGATTAACAAGATAAAGTTCGGGGTCGTTTGGATGGGTTAATTATCAATCTGGTATTTGTAGAGTCAAATAACTCATTTATTGTTCATGTGGTATTTCAATGTTATTTCAGTGGTAATTGAAATAAAGTATCTCGTTTGGTTGAACCATGCAAATGTGGTATTTGACATGTGGTATTTGGTAAAAGCAGAGTGATAAAACGAGTTATTTCGAAATAACACATGGGTATAAGTTATTTCAAATAACTCGTTTTGAGTTATTTGTAAATAACTCATTGTCCAAATAACTCATTTCAATAAAACGCTGCCAAAAGAGTTGTTTGCGTCCAAATAATTCATTGTGAGTTATTTGAACCCAAATAACTCATACAAATACTCCGTCCAAATACTTCATAGGAATAATTAATCCTTATACAAGCTCTAAACAAACCAGCTCGCGAGCTTAGCTCAACAAGCCACCGAGTCAAGCTAGCTCACGAGCTTATCAAGTTTAGCATGGTCTAGCTCAAGCTTGGTTCGTTTACTAGCGAGTCGGCTCGCGAGCCAGCTTGTTAAATAACGAGCCGAGTGTCGAACGAGTTTTTTCCGATTCGAACGCCGAGTTGCTCGCGAGCGGATTAGCTCATTTAGAGCACTAGTTGTACCCATACACTCGAAATCTCATCACTTCACATTGGTTAAACGTTCACCACATTTGAAATTTTATGGTACTGTCCCGGTGGAACTCCAAAGTGATTTCTTTAGTCTTCCCACTGGACAATGGCTGAGGTCTAATCTGGGGAGGGAAGACAGGTCACCAATTGGAGTGCCTTGGAATGCATTTTTCAGCATAGCGCTGTGGAACCTGTGGAAGAACAGAAACGAGGGCGCTTTCAACGGGCTGCAGAAGACGCTCTCCCTGCCATCTCTCATGCAAGCAATCCGGATCAAAGCAGAGTTGTGGTACAATTCCTGGAAGGCGCCGACGGATATGCTTGGACGATGCCACACCTCTCCTACTCGCATCCGGGCTGAAATTGGGTGGCTGCCCCCGCCTCCTGGCTGGATAAAAATCAATGTGGATGGTGCTTCTAGTGGGGAACAGGGGCCTGCAGGCGCTGGTGGTGTCATCCGAGATGCGAACAGGTTTTGGATGGGAGGCTTTGTCTCAAGCCTTGGGGCATGTGCAGCGACAATGGCGGAGGTATGGGCTATCTACCATGGGTTAAAATTAGCTTGGGCTCTTGGCCACAGGATAGTCATCTTGGAGTCCGACTCCCAAACGGCGATTCAGTTAATCAATCATAGAGCGGATCCTCTTCATCCTTTTGCGACGCTTCTATAAGCTATCAGACGTTTGATATCGCAAGACTGGGTGGTGAAGCTAGTTCATACATATCGGGAAGGGAATAGAGTCGCGGACTGGCTCTCGAAGCACAGTCTCGTCTATCCCTACGGGTTGTATGAACTAGAAGCACCGCCACAAGGCGTAATCTCCCTCCTTGAGGACGACATCAATGGAGTTAGTTTTCCCAGAGATGTAATCCCATCTGATTCCTCCAGCTCTCTCTAATCCCCCTCCCTTGTACCCTTTCTTCTTCTTTGGCCTTGTGCCTCCTTTGAATGCAAAAAAAAAACTACTAAATTAACTCCAATCTGTATGACCATAATAATGACGTTGAAAGTTACCCATGTGGAAAGTCTTAACACCAATTTCACAAATTATTTTCCTTAATTTCAATGATCATAAAATTATATCGAATGTTGTACTGGAAAAATCCAAAATATAATATTTTATGCTAAAGTTTTGATTCAACTATTTTAAACCGCTAAAAACCAACCAACCTATCAATTTAGATTCTGGTATGATTTTTTTTTTTTTTACCGCAAGTACAATTTCACAAATGCGTCTTAATTTTGAACTTTTTATGTTCACACACTTTTTTTTACCTTGTTCTGTTTAAATTTTGAGGCAATTACATAGTTGAGCTAAAGATTTCAAGAGCTCTATGGCTTTTGGGAAAGAGTAGGGTTGCAGTGTCTGTATGAATGCAAATGAGTTGGGACAAGAATATTTCAGAGGAAAGTGAGATTGGGGCAGAGCATGGCCATGGCTTAAGAATAGAATAAGATGGGAGGTCGGGTCCAATCCCATGCTTTGGTCCGAGTACTACTAACTGTCCCCATTCCCCATTTGCGCTTTCTTCCTCTTCTTCTTCTGATGTTCCCTCCCGTCGGTCTTCGAAGACTCTGCCTTTTTTTTCCTCCTTTTGCTTTTACTCCATTTGTGAAATTTCCGAGTAAAAAGATGTTGACAGTGGAGAGAGAGGGAGAAAGAGAATGGCAGAGCAGAGTGCGCTCTGTTTCAGAAAGACAGGGAGGAAAAAATAAATGCACAGTAAACTGACAAAGAAACAAGGAATTGAATTTATAATTTTCTATATTTTGAATATATATTCTTTATTATTAGGGTGCTACTTGCTAGCTTGAGCTTCACATTCCCCCTTCGAGGTTTTCACTTCCATTATTTCTTTCTTTTGTAGAGAGAGAGAGAGTGAGATGAGATCAATAATGACAATTTTGGATTCAGCATAATGGGGAGGGAATTGCTTCTTTTGTTTTATTCAGGTGAGGAAGGAGGATGATGGTAATGCTGTGAGAACAAGCAGTTGTGGGTTTTCTCTTCTTTCCGCCATGGCCATGGGAGGCAATGGCTGCAGCTGCCGCTGCTCTTCTTCTTCCTGCTCCTGCTCCTGCTCCTGCTCTCTCTTCTATTAACCCTGTAGTGAGTTCAGTTCTGATCTTTCTTCCGCTTTGTCTTGTTGCAGTGATTTCAATTCTGCTCGCTTTTACTTGTTTCCCATCTCTTCCTTCTGGTTCCTTCGCCGTTTCTTTTCTCTCCCTGTTTTATGTGCATTGCTGTTCTTTCCACCTCTGTTTGTTTGCTGGGAAATTTTTGGTGGGTGAGTAGGAAACTGATGGGAATTCTATGGTGGGTTTTTTCTTGCAATTCTGGGAATTCAATCACCCAGCAGAATGGATCTGTTTTTCCTCTTTTGGGGGTGAGATTTTGTTTGTTTCCATTTGCTGCATTGTTTGATTTCTGGCCAAGGAAAGCCTCAAGCTTTTAGATCTGGGTTTTCCCGTTTCACTCCATTTGGATTGAAGATCTAAATCTGTCATCTTCCTGTCCTGTCTTTTGCTCCTTTTGATCTCCAAATACAAGCTGGATTTACATACCGCTATGAGAGGCAACTTACATGAACTTGTTAACAATAAATTGTTTCATTTTAGTTTTCTTCCCAACATATTGGCATTCTAATTACGTCAACTCCTAGAGGGTAGGAAGATGAATCAACATTTGTTTTATCTGGAGTGCCTTAGTTGACTCTATCTGTAACCTTCTCCTTCACTTCCAGGGACATGTCAACTGTCCTTTGATTAGAATATATAGCCTTTCCCTTCACACCATGAACTGTCCGGCGCTGGCCAGCTACTTTTTAAATCCCTAACGTGCTGACCAATGATCAATTTGTGGAATTGATAGGCGAGTCCTAGAATTCAAGTCATCTTTGCTTCAAAGGCTAATTGTATGTTCTTGCTGTATGTCTATGCAGATTGTAATCCAGCTATTAGTTTCGATGTTCGAATTATCTTTAAAGAAGATGAAACTCGGGTCAAAGAAAGGAGTGTGGAAAGCAATGATGCCCATCCGGCTGAGAAGTAAATCAGCCACACGTTTCTGCGTGTTTCCTAAGTCTAGAACAACGCCTAGCTATGGTCAGGGCAAATCACCGGTCTATCTCAATGTATACGATTTGACACCGATGAATGGTTACGTCTATTGGGCTGGTCTTGGCATCTTCCATTCCGGTGTTGAAGGTAAGGCCAAGCCTAAGGAGCCACTTATAGACTTGCCTTTCTTGATCCTTGTTGGCGTGGAGTGTTTATGACCCCGAAATGTATGTCTGTTTCTGCAGTGCACGGGGTGGAGTATGCGTTCGGAGCTCATGACTACCCCACGAGTGGCGTATTCGAGGTTGAGCCTAGGCAGTGTCCAGGGTTCAAGTTCAGGAGGTCGATATTGGTTGGTACCACGTCTTTAGACCCAATGCAGGTTCGAGAATTCATGGAACAGCACGCAGCGAGCTACCATGGGGATACCTATCACTTGATTGTCAAGAACTGCAATCATTTCTGCAAGGATGTTTGTTACAAGCTCACGGGCAGGCCTATCCCCAAATGGGTCAACCGGCTGGCACAAATAGGTAAAAAGAGTTGAAAATAAAAACACCCTGAAGTTTCCATCTTCAGTAAACAACAATCAGTGGTGGAATGTTGTGTTGATTTGCTTCTCTTTGGGGCTCCTCCATTTCCAGGTTCGGTCTGCAACTGCGTGCTTCCCGAGTCTCTGAAGATAAACGCAGTGACCCATGACCCGAATGGTGAGCTACCATATGATAGCGAGAAGAGAAGGCTGAGAAGTGCATTCAGTTGCTTGTCTTCCATCTCTATGCGGCAGAGGCAGCTGTCGACTTCATCGTTGATTCTCCAGTCACCGTTGAGAGGCTGCCTGCCATGGGAGTTCAAGAGGTCCGTCAGCACTTCACTGAAGGAGAGATGATATGAGAACGATCTTTAACTGATGGGATGATGAAATGGTGGGTTTCTTTCCTGTGGTACTGCTTGGTTGCATAACCCCCCATTGAAGGTGGTAATGGTGGAGAATTAGGGCAGTATAAATTGGTGTACTTTGGGTTGAGCCATCAGATTGATTTCATTGTCTCGAGCAAAGACATCAATTTTTGTTTGACTAGGAAGGTGATAGGGAACCCAGTAGTGGTCTACATTCTTCCAGAGTTGAAATTGTATTTGTCAAGGCTGGCTGGCTGGCTGTAATCTATATGAATGATTCAGCTTGTACATAGAACTCGGTAGAGAATAACTCTGGCTGCCTGGAAGCCGGGTTTGAGATTGGGAGCTTATTTCCTTCTCCAATGTTTCTTTCCCAATGATGGATGGCTCTTGATATTCTGATAATTATGTTGATTGAAGAGCATCGTGTGACGAAAACTGAGGTGGGGAGACAGGGTTCCGATGGCGAAACTCTGGACAGAGACGAGACGTTAACCCTCCGACGGTGTTCTGATCAAAGTTTGCAGAACCAGTGCTGTGTGACAATTGCTTGATGCGAAACGAGATTAATGCTCGTATGAAGCAATTGCTTGATGCGAAATGAGATTAATGCTCGTCTGAAAATTGCTATTTCAAGCTTGTGAAAATTGGCAAATCTAGTCAATAACAACTGCGAAGTCAAATATATCATTTAATAGAATTGTACTATAAATTTCTATATTTTAAACCATTCAATGATTTTCTCATTCTTGAATTTTTTTAATGTATATTGTTTAGTAACTACAATTGTTAACTATCAATGAAAAATAGAACTTTGTATTTTTATTTATTTATTAAATGTCATATTTTCCTTAACCAAAAGAATCGGAGCGCCTTGCAGAATATTGAGAATTAATTCACTGATAAATATATTTAGTGGGATAAATAAAAATGGAAACGATAAAGTAAGAGGAATAAATCTTTAAAATCAAAATGTAGAATCTTTCTAGTTATTATAAGAGATTTGATATCTCTATATTTTATAAATTTGAAATTTGTGAAGCTAACATCCACTATAAAAAAAATGTAACTTTCTGTGTGAATTCAATGAATCTATGGCTCGGATTCTTTTCTTCAAACCACCCCTTAATCTCTTCAAACCACACGAAACACAAAGTGCGGGAAAAGTAGGAGAATTCATAGAAAGCTTTGCACGCAAAACTGCAAGGAAAAACATGAAATCGCTACCGAAGCCTCGGATCCACTCGAAGAATTGAAAAATACATGTAAAATTACAAAACGTTTCGGATGCTCAAACTGGAAGCAAACCGCTATACATTTTTCTATATTTGAGAATATATCATGTCAATTTCATAACATCGCGACACTTCAACTATTTATGAATCCAACGACAAGCCATAAATGATTATGAAATTGCAACTCCCAAAAAATATAGAAAATGGATCTAACAAATAGATTAACTTTTTCCATTACTTGCATAGAGCTTCAAGGGGCCATTGAGAGTCTTTTGTATACTGCCTGGCAATGTGGATGATAGAGCCATAGAAGGTTGCTCTTCAAATTAGACTCCTCACTAGCAATGCGAGCGAGTCGCTGACAGTGACAGAGAGGAGCCATAAAACCAACATTCTAGTTTTGCACTTCAGTTTTGTAGCCTCCATCAAATGGACTGTTGTGTTCAGATTTCCCATACTCGTAGAGAAGGGAATGCATCTTTTGGTTCGCAGGGACTTTATCTATACACTTCTAGATGGCGTCAGTGGATCAGAACTTCAGCCAGATATAGCTGGTGAGTCGCGATTCGGAATGGGGAATCGTCATGCAACGGCGAGAAGAGAAGGATGCAGACTGCACCGACTTGTGCTCGACTATCTAGATGCTGCAGAAGCAGCTGTTGTAGTCATTGATTCTGCAGTGCCTGTGGCGAGGCTGCCCATGATGGGAGTTCAAGAAGTCCGCCAGCCTTCCATTACCAGAATTCACCTCTTGGAAATGCTATTCTCATAGAAGCTGCTCGCATAGGATAACTGCATGATCTGGACCTCTGCGTTCAGGTTGGAGTCTTCACAAAATGTAACTTTAGTTGATATAGTTCGCCAGATGAAGACCTTTATTGGCTTGCCGAAGAACAGTTGTTAGTGTCGAGAAATCGAGTTAAAATGGGACCGAAAGAGTCTCGGAGATACAACAACGTGCACTGTAACTCAATATAGGCAAAAACTGCTGTTGTTAAGCTCCAGATAACTGACATGGTGTGTGTGTGTGTGCCACTGCAAAAGCAGTTCAAAAGGGTTGAGCTAAAGAATTACATCTTTGTTTACTTCTGCACATCCATTTATCGCTATTTGCTACTTTCCTGATATATCATTTCTTCTCCCCTTTCCGCTTTCTTCCTTTTAAGGGGTTTCTTTCCTCTGTTTCCTTCTTTATAAATGAACTAGTTTTATGGCCCGCGCTTCGCAGCGGTGAGAAATTCATTATATTTCAAACTTCATCTAGTTCATTATGATGAGTTCAATAAGTTTTATTTGGTGTCTTAATAATTAGAGAATACTTATATACTCTATACCTAAGAAATAACTATTTCTCCATAAATTTTACGTAAGACATGTAATTTATGTTACTGTTATACAAAGTTGTTACGTAAATCTTTCGTAATGTGTGGTCTAATAATAAAATCAAGTTATAAAAAATATCACACTTGATTAAATTGTTATGTAAAAGTTCATTCACCTTATTAGACGTTTGTGTAATGGAAATCGATGACATGATGCATATGTTAGTTAATAATGAAGGAATTTTAGTTGATAATATATGAATTAAGTTACGTAAAGCATGACATTTGATTAAACAACTTATGTGTAATACAAATTGATGAGATGGTCAAAATTTAATATAATATCAAAGCAATTTTCATTCAAACATATATTACAAAATGCTTGTGTATTTTTTTAATTTATAAATGTGTCACTTTAATGTAATACAAATTGATTATATGGTGAAATATTTAGCAGTAATAAAGAAATTTTCATTCGAAATAACAATTCAGTACATGATACCACAATACATTACAAATAACTATTCATCCATATGTTTTGCATGATATATTTGTACCAGAAAATTAGGCAAGAAAGGAAATTGGGCATGATAATTATATAATGACGCATAACAATAATCTCCCAGTGAACTAACTATTAGTTACCAGGAAAATAGGCAAACGTAGATATATAATGCATCCGGCTCATACAAAAAATCCCCCCGGTGAACAGTAACTACCGACTCACGGGGCGAGAAATTCGTGAGGAACAGTACGTTCCCTTGCGCTTTTAATTAATTGAATTGATGATACATATGGGCCAAGCAAGAACAAAACACTATACACAGACAAGACGGCAAACCCCAGAGTTAGCATTGTGATAACAAACCTGCAAAGGAACATGAAACAGAGGAAATTGCTTCAGTTTTTCTTTTACTACAACAGAACAGACCAAACTGTGTTTCTACTCTATAACGGGGTTACACGAACATATGAAGTGTTTTCGACCGATACAACGTAAAGTTCCCTCTTTCTAACCGTTTTCAAGGGGGAACTGAACTACCAACAATGTTAATCATAAGAAGAAGCTCAATAGAGAGAAGTGACATTATCATTCGGGAAGCCAGGCCAGGATGAAATTTATCAATCGTCTTTGTGATGCAAAACACTAGGCAGGCTATTATTACCATTGAGTGCGGCGATGTATATTCTCTTCTCGGCTAGTCCAATATCTGACATTACTAGATCACCCTGCACCCACAACCAACACACCAAGAATAGTTGGAGCAGTAAACAGATTATTGTTTATGTAAGTACGGATTAAGACACATGATTACTACGTACACAGCACACCATAGCTAAAACGTAAGCATGTACCTCGCGCGCCATCAACCGCCGGATATTATTAGCATATAGTTTAGGGTCAGTCTTCTCTTCTTGGGAAGGGTAGTAAACAGGTAGCCTTATCACTTCCAAGTGATTTACAAATTGGCACAACAGAAGAATTACATGACGGAACTGCAGTGGAAGACATGTCAAAACTATTATGATGAGTAAACAAGAGAATTTTCTAGCCAGAGACACTTTCCAGACAACCACACCGATATGTAAGACAAAGTTCATCTACATGTATATTTAAACAGGAATGGAAAGCTCACCCCCGATATCGAATCCCAGGCAGCACTAAACCTATGGTATGGATACCGCAGAATCACTGGAATAACAGGTGCCCCAGCTAAGAATCCACCCGTCTTAAAAGGAAGGAGGAAGTCCCCATTAGTAGTGGTTCCTTCTGTTAAAATGTTGCAGATAAAAAACAAGTGTTAGTGAGCCCGCTGAACTGAATGGTATTATCATTCTTACAGCATTTCTATGCAAGAAGGATATAAAATGTATACTGACAGATAAAAAGAGGAAAAATTCATTATAATGTCGATAAGTTATGCAGCAAAGAAAGAATAGATAAGTCACAATGGAGCTTCCAGAATGACGTGTTTAACCAGTAAAAAGAGACCAAGATTAGTTATTCTGGGAGTTGAAATTACAAATCTAATTCATCTGAGGGAGAAATCAAATCTCATTGGTGATTTTCTTGTGAATTTATATCTGTATGTACATAATAGTTTCCACATTCTCTTGAAATCACCCAGAAGAAATCTGCAGTCTTGTTATAAGACGTCTTTTTGCTAGGTGGTTCAGACCCATAGAAGGTTTGACATACTTGGGATTGCTTCCAAAAGAGCTTAATCTAGAAAGAGTTATGACAACAGGATCTCCGAGAAACTGATTTATGCCTATTTCCATGGGCAGTAACAGATTTCCCAGTTGGAACATCATGACCAGATAATATGGGACAAAAGGAGAGTAATATCCTGCGACTAAAATACCAATATCATAAGCTGCTATATCCAAATTAGGACGTCAAACCATAAACAAACTTCAGGCCATTAGAACCAACACTGTTTGTAAATGTTTTTCCTATTATCATTTGATAAAACAAATAAATATATTATATCATAAAACCAACTGATAACAACTTGAGGGAACAAACATAACAGTTTTAGATGTCACTAACCAGGAAATAGCATCATCATGGGAGCAGATTCATCCTCATGCGATTCTTTAACTCTCTCAATCACAATACCTGCAAGAATTTATGGATTTAAAATCTATCAAAAAAGCGATATATGGTTCTTCCCACAGCTAAAATATCACCATAACTATCTACTCCCTCATATATTGCAGCACAAATATGTAGCTTTGGTGAATTGGTACTGAACGTATGGATGCTTTGACATCCAACAAAACATTGCAGGGTTTATATTAGCCTTATTTTAGACCCAGTGTAAAAGAGGTCCCTTGCAATAAGTATCCCCTTTAAGGACTACGTTCAAGTTTCATGAGTCGCATAGTATAAGAATAGCAGGTCCTGCACAGTGCATACCCGCAACACCTTTAAAGTCGGATGACTTCGACTCCCGTTGGACAAAGACGCATCCAAGGCACTTGCTGTTAGATAACAGAACACGAAAGCAAAAATTACCTTTCATATTCAGACAATATAATTTCTTGTAGACCTCTTACAACACTTGAGCACAAAAGAGAACAATTATGATGATGAAGTGAACTAACCTGATGAGACCGACCAAAGGAAGTTTACCCACTGATCTCTTGGGCACCAGAAGAATGGGTCAATAGACCACATAAAACGAAAAGAAGCAATTAGTAATAGCAGCAAAAAGTTGCAGAGTACCACCATCATAAGAATAAAAAAAAATATGACAGGCTTGAGCATACCTTGGCAACAAAGCTGGAAAAAGACGACGACATGTGATACAGAATATCAACATACGAGACATGGTTGCATACTATCGCCCCTGGTCTTTCAGGTCGTTGTGATTGGATTTTGCCATCGTTCTGATCCAAAATTCAAGAGCAGGGGAATACAAATGTAAAGTAAGATATAGCTCTCTTTGAAACTAAAAATTCCAGGTAGACAACACATTTCAGAGGGCCAGACTGAGTGCAGTATAGCAACAAGCTGAAGCATAAAGCAAGTATCAATGACTTCAGAAGCTGGGTAATTGAAACAATCCCAAGTCCCATTTCAGAAAGCTGGCTAGAGAGAGACAGTTTCGGTAACTCAGTATGAGACTCGAAAGTCAGCAGAACACCATACATAATTTCAGCTTGTAATAAATAGTCATTCATCTCCTACTTCCTCTATTCCTCCTTTTGTACAATTTTGTACTCAGTGTAGTGTCAGCATTCTTGTAACCAATAAGCAGCAGTAAGCCACAAAATCCCAAGACACACATTACCAAAAAAAAAGCATGCAACCAGAGTACGGATAGAGCATTCCCAGCTATTCAATAATGGCAGGACACGAATACCAACACAAATCAGAATTTGCAGATACCAAGTATGCATCACATATGGAAGAATTGGTAAAATACCTGAGAGGATGACTTGCCTTGAGGCGGAGCTTGCTCTTGCTCTAAATCCCTAAAACTCTCGCTTATCCAATAAAACCCAAACACAAACAGCATGATCCTGGAGAGGAACCTGCCACAGGAGACGACGACGGTCCTCCGCCACCCTCTCATGTGAGCAAAGTCCTCCTGCTCCTCTGCCGCCTCGTCCCGATTGGGCGCGGAGAAGAGCGTGCAAATCCTACACACCAAGTAGTAGAAGAACAAGATGAGGGTGGCCAGCACGACGCGCAACGGGAGGAGCGTGACGCAGGCGACGCCGAGCAGGAGCTTCACCACGAGCGGCAGCTCCCCGCGGCCGAGCGGACCGTAGACGTCGTGGCGGGCGAACGCGGCGAACTTCTTGTTCAGCTCTTCGAGGCTCTCGGCGGAGATTCGGCCGTTGGCGGTGGAGGAGGACGAGCAGGAGTCGGATTTGAGGAGCGGCCGGTCGTCCTTCTGTGAGGCGTCGTCGACGGGGGACGCCGATGAGGGAGAATCGGGGGAGATGACGTGGCCCTTGGGAGGCACTGGTTTAACATCGTGGAGCTCAGTCTCCATCATTTTTTTGTTTATGTTTTTTTTTTCTGATGGAGAAGGCGGCCAGCGAGTGATGATCGGAGGAATCGGGAGAAGTTAGAAAGGTTGACGGTGGAGAGAGAGGAGCGGATCTTGTCGTCGGCGCCGGCGTAGATCTATCGGTGGAAGAAGGAGCGACATGGCGGTGAATGATGATTGGGCGCTGAGACGACTCTCTGTCTCTATCCCTCTCCCTTCTCGTGAAGATTGCGGACGCGGGGATAATTCCGTACGGGAAGTCCCAACGCAGTCAGTCGGGCTGTCACGTCGCCGTTAAGTGACGGGTCGGGATACAGATGGCTCGCTGCTGACCCTTGGATTGCTCTGATTCGACGGATGATTATTGAGTACGCTTGGAAGCTAACGGACCACCCGACGCAGCCGCGATCGCCGATCAAGCAGCCGAATCTCTGTGTAATTCAATACCATTAAATAAAATGAAAAAAGCAGGATCCGTGATTAACTGGGTTAATTATCTGTCGTAAGTCTTGACTATTAAGACAGCCAAGATGAACTTCCGTATTAATTAAGAAAATTGAGGTTAAGACGCAATTGGATTGTGATTCAATTAGAGAAATACTCTTGTAGACGATGTACAAATGTTGTTGGGACATGTAAAAGAAAATGGCAAAATACACTTGTATAGTCAAAATTTTCACGTTTGTGTCAATAATAATCAAACTTGGAAAAGTACCACTTATAGTTACTTCCGTCCAATTCTTTAGAGTTGTTAGCTTTAAATCTGACTGGACAAACGGAGCACCTGACGTGGCGAGCTCTTATTTCCAATTTCCTCTGTAATTGTCCATGTGGATAATAATTAACTAAAAAAAATTAACATACCAAAATGAAAAAGTCCTCATTGTTAAATGAAAATAAATTTAACGAAAAACAAAAAACATTAAAAGAAAAGCATTTAATAAAAAAAACTTCACCGCTCACTCTCTCTCCTCCCACCACTCAACTCTCTCTCTCTCTCTCTCTCTCGTTGAAATCCCTTTCTTCCTCTCTCCCAACAAATCTCTTTCTTCCTCTTTCAAATCTAAACGCCGGAAAACATAGATATTCATTCGCCTCAATTCCCAGCGCTTCCTCCTCGCCTATGCCCGACCTCTCTTTGGCGCCTCCTCATTGTCTCTTTTTCTCCGCTGCACCGCCGCCGAAACAGAGCCAGCCATCGCAAAATGACGGTTCAAGCTCTCAAGACGGGGCCGCCGAAACAGAGCTAGCCTCAATCCGCTTCTTCAACCCCTACTCCAAATCCCTAGTCAATCGTCGTCACCTCCCACCCCTTTTGATGCACCGTTCAGATCTGCTTTCCAAGATGAGCGACTCGTTCGAGATGGTGTGCAAAACAATACCCGGTGCTCGAAGGATTTGATTCAATCCCCTGGACATCCTTGCTTCCAGAAGCCGAAGAAGGTGGCCTGTTCTCTGTCTTCGCAGACGTTAATGAATTTACTTAACCTGAGGGTGGGGATGGATGGAAGTCGAGCAGCGGTCGGATTCTGAAGGGGAATGACTAATATTCCCCTTCTTTGTTGTTGTTGCCTTGTCCACTATGTTTCTCAGGGAATTCGAGTCGTCGTCGATCATTGACCTTCGCAATCCATCCATTCATTCCAGATGAAAAACCCAGAACCACTGATTGCTACTGATGGAGAGATGGTTGGGAGAGGAGAGGAGGAAGAGAGGTGCAGTGGAGGAGGAAACGAAGAGAGAGAATGAATTTTCTGGATTGGATTCGGGATTTTTTTGTTGGGGGTAGAAGGTGGATAGATGAGAGAGACGGGGGAGGAGAGCTTTATGACTCTATTTTTTTTAAAATTTAAAATATGACGTGGCGATTACGTGACATGTGAGTCTAGGTGGACATGATGTGTCGTATAGGTGGCAAAAACATAAGCATAATGTTCACTTAAACTTACGGAGTTAGAGACGGTGTTAAAGTATTTGACGGAAATGGCTATATTTGTCATACAAATTTAAAAATTGTGGCTATAAGTGGTATTTATCCAAATTTGACTATTATTGACACAAACGCTAAAATTTTGACTATACAAGTGTATATTTCCAAAGGAAAACAAGTCTAAATAATAGAGAAGGATTGTTGATCGTGATAAATAAACATAGTCTTGAGATTTTTTAGTTTTTTACAATTGTCACTCAGATAGTCAAACATCATTAATTTGACTACAATTGATTGTGTGGCCCACGTTGCCTCTTCTGTCGTATTCAAGCCCATGGCTGCTGTAGCTACTATCGGCCCAGTACTGCCACATGCAATAGCAAGCCCATTCCTCACTTTAGAGGTCTATGACTATCTAATATCTATAGACTATAATGCTGTAGGAAACTAGGAATGCTACTATACTTCTTCCTCGTTTCCAAACGAACTGATCAACGTCAAAACCATACAGTAGATCTAGAGGTGGCAATTAGGATCCAAATCCAATCCAATCGAATCCATCCACTAAATTATTCACCTAATCCAATCCATTTAAATCCAATCTATTTGATCCAAATCCAATTAGATTGGTGGATTCATGGATCAATCCATGGATCCAAATGACAAATTACGATTTAGTACCTATATTTTATATATTTTACATTTTTGGTACCTAAAAATTTATATTTTTATACGAAAAATATCATTGGAAAATACATTTTGGTACCTAAAATTTTTCATTATAACATTTTAGTACCAAAACTTTTAAAATTTTACATTTTGGTCCAAGCCTTGGATGTCATTTGGATTCATGGATCAATCCACCAATCCATGAATCCACCAATCCATTGGATCCAATCCATTTGATCCATAGATCCATCAATCCAATCTACGAATCCACGAATCCGATCCAATTGCCACCTCTAAGTAGATCCTAAAAGGCTAACACCAGTTCCCAAAGAAAAGTAAAATCAGTAGCAATATTTCCCAAGAAAAGTCAGGAAACTAGCCATACCCATCATTGCTTTGTGGTTGTGGCTAAAAGCGAGAAGCTCATCTCTAGAAACTGATTGTAACTTTCTGAAGTCGAGCTCTCAAGAAGAGAAATCATGCTAGCAAACCAAATACACCAATTCTGCAGATTCAAACTACAAGATGAGAAGAACTCCATAGCATACAACTCACGAGCTAATCCAAGTTTCACCTATTTGAATGCCGCAAATCGCCAACGAGCCTTGCTCTGCAATATGTTAAAACTTAAAACACATGGAGTTCTCAATTTCTCACTCGAATAGAAACCTCACTGATCCCAGAACTCTGCCTAGAATCCATATTTAGCAACACTGACAATCCGATCGAGACTCGAGACCCGGATTCAGGATTCATCCCCATTACAGTAACATCAAGCACAACTACAAGATGGCCAGACGCAGAGCTAATCACTCACCCGACTGCAATTCTGTAACTTTATTATTCAAATCAAGTTTAGTATTGTCTAACAATAAAACCCAGAGATCTCCTCTTTCAGTTCTTCATGATCCATTATTGGGCAAACCAAATGTGTTGGAAGTGTTGGGACTTGAACTAATATTTCCTTGGAATACAAATGTTGTTTGTTTTACCTGTGATTTCCCAAGCTCAGCAGGCGGCCCAGTTCTTCTGGGTACTAATTATGGCTGACAAAAGCCCCGCGCACGACAAAAACAACGGCGACGACAGCTTCCCTTTCCCGTCCCTAATATCAGCCAACGCCATAAACCCATCGGCGAAATCCTGAACGATCGACAGCTTCTTCATCACCATCTTCCCCTTCAACTTCTCCATCCTCTCTTCCTCCTCGCCGCACCGAACCCCTCTCGAGTGCGCTATCTCGATCGTAGACGACAGCGCGGCCATGTCTCCGTTCAATTCGTTCAGATCCCTAAATTTCAACGAGATGCTCCCGACGTATCCGGCGAATTCCGCCCAGGCGCTGATTTTCCCCAACCTCTTGGCGTGCCTCCCGTCGATTAAACCCGATTTGGACAGCCACACGAACTGCTCAACGAAGTAGTAGATTCCCTCGCCGCCGTAGGCGAGGATGGAGAGGATCAATTCCTGTCGGGAGTGGAAGTGGGAGGAGCCGCCGTGGCGGAGGGAATTGACGTCCTGGACGAATTTTCCGAGGCGGAATGCCTTCCGGCTGAGGCCGACGCTGGACTCGAAGCTCTTGAGGCGGTTGGTTAGAATTAGGGTTTCGGGGAGGATCGAGGAGGAGAGGATGATCTTGGCGGCGTATCGCGAGATCTTGAGGAGCTTGTCGACGCCGTCTCGTTTGGAGAGGTAGGCTTCGAGGTGGGTCAGGAAATCTCGGTCACTGACTTTCGGGTTGGCTAAGGCAATTGGTTTGGGGGGAATCAGAGGGGTTGTGGGGGTTATTTTAGCTTCCGCTGCCGGAAGGTTTGCGGTGGCGGTGGTGGAATCCATGGGAGGGAATTGGAAGGGGATATTTTCCGGCCTGTTGTCAGCAAAGAAACCGGCGGGTGGAGGATGGCTGGCTGATTCGGACAGGGGAAGATTGCTTTGGTTGCCGCGAGTTTATGGGGAAGAGGAAGCAAACGGCGTCGTTTACGGTCAACACGTTGCGGCCGTCTCTTGTTTTATAGATTCGCGTGCCAACTGCCAAGTATTATCTGACTCCATTTTGAATTCAATTTAGCCATCAAGAGTAGGGGTGTGATGGGTCGGCGGTTTGGTTTAACAATTTTAATCATCCGAACCATGTAATACGGTTTAGAAAATATTAAATTCAAATCTACTGAAAAAAAATGAAAACTCTACGATTTGTTTCAAATTGGGTTGGGTGGGGTTGGCCTTTTTAAGTAAAAACCCAACCCAATACAAAATATGTAATTATTCTACACTATAAAAATATTTTATAACTAATTAAAATTTCAAACGAATAAATCGAGGTGAAAGGTTTCAAAATTCACAAATGTTGTTTAAATTTTAATAAAATGTAATTTACTTCAACATATATCTAGTTCTTTTCACGATATTTGTTGAATGGGCTAAAAATATTATAAACGGACACATCCATAATATATTATTCTATTAAAATTGCCACAAGAAAAAGGATTACGTGAATCATAGCTATATTAAATCTATGTCTAAATTTTAAGCCGAAGAACGCATTAGATTACAGAGACCATGAGAGAAAAACATGGCAAAATATCTTAATTTTCTCATAAGTATTGCTATATACGACATAAATATTTTTTGGATACAAACTCATACCAATAGTTAGAACACGAGTTGGGTCGGGTTCTACGGGTTGTGTAATCCAAAATTCAAACCCAACACGAAAGAGACGGGTTGTACAAAAGAAAACCCTCACCCAACCCAAAACCTTAGTTTTGACGATAAATACGGGTGGATTGGATCAAGTTGGATGGGTGGGTCGGTTTGCGGGTGTGTTTGTTCACCCCTAATCAGGAGGGTAATGGAAAGAAATGAAAGGATTTGATGAAGAATGGATTTAGGTGTTACGGCTAGGGCTGCAAACGAGAGTCGAGCCAAGTTTTTGCTTAGATTGAGCTGAGGTGTATGGTGATTGGGAGGATTCCTATGCTTTACTCCCTAGACTTATGGCCGCAATGGAGGAGTCCAACCCTGGGGCTGTTAACAATGTATATACAATGAGGATCAAGTTCGAGTACAGGAGAAGTTGATGTTTCACCGTATTTTTTGGACTTTCAAACCATGCATTGACGGGTTTGCGTTCTGCATACCGGTTATTCAGGTATTTTAATACATGTTTACTATTTGAAATGTTTGTATTCTTTCCTGCTAAGTAAATTTTATACTAATTACTTCCTAATTTTTAATTAGGTTGATGGAACTTTCCTTACTAGGAAGTACAGAGAACTCCTCTCATTGCCACTGGCGTTGATGGAAACAGGCGGATTTTCCCGCTTGCATTTGCATCACCGGAAGGGGAGAACAACTTAAGTTGGGCATGGTTCTTTGACCAACTACACGAACACGTGACACAGCGGGTGGGTATTACGATTATATCCGATCGACACGCGGGGATTAGGAATGCTGTGGGTGGTTTTCCTGACGAGTGGGGATGGACATGGCGCTGGTGTATTCGACAGTGGCTCACCAATTTCCAACACAAATTTGGGAAGAATAAAGACATCAAAAATCAATTATGGCATGCAGGTACTAATGTCCTTTAATGCGAGTTAACTATTTATATAATAATTTGTTGTTTATCATGTATTGACCAGTTTGATTTTGTTCACCTTGCAGCGGTTGCACATCAGCCAAAAAAGTACGAGCAGAAGATGAAGACGATCCGTCAGACCCACCGAGCTGGAGCAGTATGGGCTGAAGGTCAAGAGTTGGCCATGTGGACGTTCCATATGGACAACGGGCCCAGATGGGGCATTGTGATAGAAACCTGCAGTTCAATTTATTTAGCATTTGAACTTATTTGCTAGTTTATGATTGTTTATGAATTTATGGATAATTGGGGGAATTTAATTGGGGGTTTAATAAGTTGGGGTAGTCATCGGTAATTACGAATTTTTATTTAAACTATTTTTCTACGTTGAATGAGATTAGCAAAGTAATTAAACCCTAAACCTATTGTTACACTCTCCCTCCCTATCTCTTCTTCCCTCTGTCGACCCCCACTTCTCCTTAGCAGCCCACCTGCTGCCGATCCCCTCCTCTCTTCTTCTTTCCCCCTTCAATCAAACACTTTCCTTCCCCTCTCCACATACTCGGCCGCCCTCTGGAGCCAAACCAAGGCTCCTTTCCATTTTCAATTTCCATTTCCATCCTTCGGTAGATCCCGGGGGTTTCTATCATCTAGTATCAGAGGCCGATTCCGATTAGCGAGTTTGTCGCAACTCTACACCGGGATGGGCAGCAGAACTATGGCGATCACCAAGTCTCCGGCAGAGAAGTCTGACGCTGGATCCAAGGCGGCGACGACACGACTAGGGCTTCCTCGCCCTTGGCGGACAATCGGCGCAAAGGAGTCGTGGTGGACGAGACAGAGAGTGACGATCTCCAAGCCTCGATGCGCACCATCATGGCGATGCAGTTGAGGACCGACTCCAACATGGAGGAGGTGCGGGCTGAGGTGGAAGAAGCCAAGCGTGAACGTGACGTGATCATGCAACTCCTCACCAACATGCGGGAGGAGCAGAGGCGGCTGGCTGCGGCACTGGGGCTAGGCGGGTGAGATCGGGCCGAGATGGGGGCGACCGGGACAAGCCCAGCGGCGGTGGCGGCTGTCCCGGTGGGTAGCGGGGCGGCGGCGGTTTCCGACGGGCAGCGGGGCGACGACCAGGCCAGGAGGAGGGGCAGCCGCGACCACCGTAGGGCAAGCCGCGGTCGAGCGAGTGGGCCTCGATACTGAAGGGCCTCGTAATGGGCACGGGCTGCTACCAACTCCAACGGCTGAGGAGATCGCGGCCATACGGGGTAAGGCAAAGATGCCGGGCTACGACAACGTGGTCCATAATCCGTGTTTCAACCCAATGGGCTCACAACCCATGGAGCGCGAGATGGGCCGAGTGCAGCGGGCCGAAAGCGGGTTCGATCAGGCAGGCGGGGCGGATCGAGGCTTGGTGAACCGGTCGGGCCCCAACGGTCGAACCGGGTCGGGTTGTGTTGAAGGCGGTCGGATCAGGGCTGGGTGGACCAAAGCTGGTCGAACCGGTGATGGGTGGACCGCTGATGGTCGACCCGGGTGGACCGATGAGGGTCGACCAAGAGCTGGGTGGACCGACAGTGGCCGAACCAGGGCCGGGTGGACCACCAATGGCCGAACAGGGGTGGGCCGAATTGCAAACGAACCCCACCGGTTCGGGTTGACGCCGGATGGCCGGCCAGTAGCTGAATGGCGGGCCCAGCTGGAGGGTTCAAGTGCATACGGACCGCCAATAGCAGCAGCAGGCGAAACAGGGGGTCAACCGGGCGGGTACGGAGACTACTCAGGCGAGAACAGGCATGGCTGGGGTGCAGGAGACGACGCACGCGGACCCCCGGGGTACTATAGAGGCCACCCCAGTGCTGGCAGGTATGGTGGATATGATCGGTATGATGATGGGTATGGGTTGGTGTTTAGGGCCAAGCCCCCGACCATTGAGTTTCCGAAATTCAATGGCCAGGAGGATGCCGGTTTGTGGCTATATGCAGCTGACAGGTGGTTTAAAAATCACCCGACTCGGGAGGAAAGGAAGGCGCAACTGGCGTCCTTCTATCTGGAGGGAGACGCACTGCATTGGTGGGAGTGGTTAGAGCAATCCAATGCTGCTGCGTAGACGCTGATTACTTGGCCGATATTTCAGGAGGAGCTTCGTTACCAGTTCGGCAAATCCGAAGGGTGGGCGCCAGAGCAGCTAGCCAAGCTCAGGCATACCGGCTCGGTAACTGATTACCGGGCAGAGTTCCTCAAACTGGGAAACCAGTGTAAGGGAGTTCCAGAGGAGACCCTGGTGGGCATGTGCATGGCAGGTCTAAAACCAGAGATTGCTGCTGCACTCAAGATTTTTGAGCCAGATACCTTGCGGGCTGTTTTTCGTCTTGCAGGGCATAAGGAGGAGGAGCTGGCCAGCTGGAGGAACGTCATAGGGCGTTATTCCAAGAATGGAGGAGGAGGTCACGCCGGTGCAGGGAGTAGCGGAAATGGCGGCACCACTACTGCGGCTAGCGGCGGGACGAGCACGACACCGGGGCAGCAGTGCCGGCGGCTCGGCTTGGACCTAGGACTCTGCCTATAGGCTTCGTTCGGCTAAGCTTAGTGGAGATCGATCAGAAGAGAAGGGAAGTCAAATGCTTCAATTGTGATGAGCGGTTCACCATTGGGCATAAGTGTGCAAAGCCGGACCTGATGATGCTGGTGGGACGATGGGGGGATGAGGCCGAGGACGAGGCAGCGGAAGGCAAGGGCGAAGATCGGGTGGAGGACTGGCAACCTTGAGGACAAGGTTGATTCGAAGGAGGAAGGGATGATAGAAACCTGCAGTTCGATTTATTTAGCATTTGGACTTATTTGCTAGTTTATGATTGTTTATGAATTTATGGGTAATTGGGGGAATTTAATTGGGGGTTTAATAAGTTGGGGTAGTCATCGGTAATTAGGAATTGTTATTTAAACTATTTTTCTACGTTGAATGAGATTAGCAAAGTAATTAAACTCTAAACCTATTGTTACACTCTCCCTCCCTCTCTCTTCTTCCCTCTGCCGACCCCCACTTCTCCTTGGCAGCCCACCTGCCGCCGATCCCCTCCTCTCTTCTTCTTTCCCCCTTCAATCAAACACTTTCCTTCCCCTCTCCACATACTCGGCCGCCCTCTGGAGCCAAACCAAGGCTCCTTTCCATTTTCAATTTCCATCATTCGGTAGATCCCAGAGAACGGGTTTCTATCACATTGCAACTACCAACCATGGAGAAAGTATAAATAATGTGTACAAGGGCCTTCGAGCGATGCCTATTTCTGCCATAGTGGAGATGTCATACTGGAAGGTCAACGAGTGGCGGGTGGCTCGGTTGCAGCTAGCAATAGGGAGGGAGATATCTGGTCATCCGTAGCACATGACGTCTTTGAGCAGACACAGAAGAACGAAGAAAAATCAAGTAAGCATAAAGTTGTTCTTTTCGATCGCAGTGAAGGGATATTTGCAGTGGAAACAGGTGTATGGGATGGAGGTAGACGTGGCCATAATCGTCAAACGGTTACTCTCCACTATGAATCAGAGGAGTGTACATGTCAAAAATATCAAAACGAAAGGATACCCTGTTCACATGCAATGACAGTAGTAAGTCATTAACAATGAACAGAAACACTCTGGTGAGTCCTTACTACACTGAACAAGCGATACAGAACTCATATGATGCAGCTTTGAGTCCCATGCCAGATGAAGCGTATTGGCCTATATATGCTGGGAAGTTGATTATCTCACTGTTGCACCTAAAACGCACCAAGGGTCGTCCTAGAATTGAAAGGATTCACAATGAGATGGATCAAGTGCAGCGCACGAGGCGGGGGCCGAAGCGATGCTCCAAGTGCAGAAAACCTGGCCATGACAAGAGGCGTTTGTCCAACACGGTGAATACCCTGTGTTTGTCCATGTCAGCGATCCGCGTCGCATTCATCGTGGCATAATAAAACGGGGAGCATTCACCGCATTTGACCAAAACGGTGATGTTTTCACCGTTTTCTTTTAAAATGGTGAATGGCCCCTCATTGCTCACCGCTTTAAACGAAGACGGTGAACACGCCATCGTTTTAATTAAAAACGGTGAAATGTTCACCGTCTTTGTCAAACGTGGTGATTATATTCACTGCGTTTGCCAAAAACGGTGAATGTGAAACATGTGTACTTTTGGAAACTTTTTTTATAACTTTTGTATTTTGAGAATATTTTTTAAGAAATTTGGTATTTTTTCCCTAAATTTTACCCAAACAAGATATTTGAGCATAATTAATTCATTTTGAGTTATTTGGATACAATCTTCCCTACGAAGAAGAGCTTTTGCGGGAATCGGTCCAGCCTGAAGTTATGGTGGCGGTACCTAGTGTCCCGGCGAGAAGCTCCGTTCGAGAAGCGTTTCGCGATATACAAGAGGGCACTCGCGGCTTTGCCTGGAAGTTACAAGCTCTGTAAGGCCTATCTCACTGAAAGTGTCGATTTCCTTAGAACCCTAAACCTTCCCATCACCGTCTCGGTGTACGAGCAGCTCAACGAAACTTTTGAGACAGCTTTGGCATCTATGCACAAGATGCCTCGTATCTGGATTATGTACTTGCAGAGGTTGGCGAGCCAGAAATTAGTAAGCAGGACTCGCAGAGCTGCTGACAGAGTGCTTCGTGCTTTGCCTGTAACTCAGCACGATCGAATTTGGGAGGTCTACTTGAATTTTTTGACAAGTCGGGACTTAGGGGTTCCCGATTGAGACTTGTTTGAGAGTGTACAGGAGGTATTTGAAGTATGATCCTGTATTCCTGTTCATATTGAGGATTTCATTGTGGCTTGAATTTTGTGACCTGCTTACCAGGCACGCAAAAGATCGAGATTTCTGGCATGAACGTGGATGCAATAGTTAGAGCAGGGATTAACAAGTATACAAATGAAGTTGGCCAGCTATGGACATCTCTGGCTAATTATTATATAAGAAGGCGATTGTTTCACAAGGCAAGAGATGTTTTCTAGGAGGGCATGGCCACTGTAATCACTGTGAGGGATTTCAGTTTGATTTTTGATGCATATGCTGAGTTTGAGGAAGGCATGGCTGATTGTAAGATTGCAGAAAATTTGGAGTCAGGGCCTAGTGTCAGGGAGGAGGAAGAAGATGATTGCCCGGAGGAATGTGATTTGGCCGTGGACATTCGATTGGAGATTACCAATTCAGAGTTCGAGAAGAAGTTACTCTCTGGTTTTTGGTTAAATGATGATAAAGTTGGGGATTTGGTGCTGGCTCGATTTGGCAATCTAATTGAGAGAAGGCCTGAATTGGCAAAATCCCCATAACGTGGAACAATGGCACCGTAAGTGAAGCTATTTGATGGTAAGCAGATACTTATCTTTACTGAGGCTGTAAAGCCTCACACCCTTTGGGTTGCTTTCGCTAAGCTGTATGAGGAACATAATGATCTTGTCAATGCCAGAGTGGTTTTTGATAGGTACTTTAGACTCGACTCGTGCAGTTTATGAGTAGACCTGGCAAATGAGGATCCGATCCGTTGACCCGACCCAAACCCGCCTGAAAAATAGCGAATGAGTTGAGGTTTTTATAACCCAAAACCCAAATGACCCGAACCCGATTAACCCGTAGTTTTTGGGTCAGGTTGGGTTGGTTTGTGGGTCGACCCGCTAGACCCGTTTCATTGCATATGTCACTCTCAAAATGATAAAATAACTCATACTTTGGTGAGATGTTTAAAAAAATTTATTAGGATTTGAAAGACAAGTTTGGAGTGTTAAGATAATCAAACATCATTTGTTTATTGTAGTAGTATTACTTTCGTCATTGTTTTTTCACAATTTGTATTTCTTTTCATTAGCATAGAAGGAGTTGAGCATTTGTTAATTGACATGTGCTAGGTAAACTATTGTCGCACATACGTAAAAATTTGTGTTCTTTAAAAATTTATGAAACATGTTAATATTGTTTCTGAGAACGCTCATGACCCGAACCCAATCCGAGACTTGATGGGTTGGATCAATATTTGACCCGAAATCAGCAAACTCATCATGCCCCGACCCGTAAAGACCCGTAACTCGAGATTTCCAACTCGAAATTATCCAACCCGACCCGATTGCCAGCTCTATTTATGAGCCAATGTTGGACCTAAAAATAGTTACTCCACAAATATTAATCAATTATGCATGCCTTTTGGAGGGGAAAAACAAAACTATTTTGAAGATGCATTCAAGGTGTACGAGAGAGGGGTCAAAATATTTAAGCCACCAAGTCAGTTCCAGATAACGAGAAGTTGAGCATGTATGAAAGTTACATTGCCTGTGCTGCTGAAATCTTTGGTCTCTCAAAAACAAGAGAAATATACGAACAAGCGATAGAGTCTGGTCTCCCGGTCAAAGATGTCAATAAAATGTGTCTCAAGTATGCAGAGTTAGAGAAGAACTTGGGAGAAATAGACCGAGCGCGAGGAACTTACAGATTTGCATCTCGGTTGGCTGAACCGAGATCTGATCAAGATGTCTGGATTAAGTGGCATGACTTTGAGGTCCTCCATGGAAATGAAGATACCTTCAGAGAAATGCTGCGAATCAAACAAACTGTTTGTGCTAATCACAACCAGGTATGCTTGCTAGTCCTGTGCATTTTCTACAATGTTCCATATACTTTACAGCAAATGTTCTATACCTTACAAAATAGGAATCAAATATATTGACAACAGTGCTGCTGCAAAAGATGGCAACAACAGAAAAACGCTAGGGTTCGTACGGGCTGGAGTGCAGACACAGACTGATGGCGGGGTAAAAGTTACGGAAAATCGAGAAGACATTGAGCTACCAGAAGAAAGCGACTCCGATGGTGATGATGAGAAAGTGGAAATTGTAAAGAAGGATGTTCCATCTGAGGTCTTTGGAGGACTGGTCAGAAAGAGGGTTGATTCGAGGATAATGCTCCTGCAAATAGTGAGAACCGGCGGCTTGGTGCTCTTGATAGGATAAAACGACTTAAAGGGCCGAGTGGCGAAAGATGAATAGTAAGCCAACGTGTTTGATAGATTTTGGTGTTGTTTTCAACGTCCTTCGAGAAGAACTTGTGTGGTGGCTGGTAAAGTTTTGCCATATACAGTTGATGATGATGCTGTTGAAAAAGATGTGACATTGCATTCTTCTTTCACATATTACCATTAGATCAATACTGAGATTGAAGCTTGAAAGGGTAATTTGATTTGGTTGCTTATTGGGAGCACAAAAACCAATATCGTTCTACAACTCCACTCTTTCACACCCAAATACTGCTTTCTAGGAAGCTTCACGTGAAGAAAAAAATGGGGATGGAAACTAGTCCGTTCATTCTTCAGCAGTGTGCCAACGTAGCTAGAATCAACTAAGAGTACAACATGAAGAGAAAGAGAGCTGGGGAGTATTTACAAGGCATCAAGTTTTGACAGGGGAACAATCTCAAATTACTAACAGGAGATAGTTGACTAACCCACCAAGAAGACAAAAATGCGTCCATAATTGATTCCTAAGAAGCCTGCTTGCGCTCCTGCATTAAGATTACACAAGAAACAAGAAACGATCCGTTACAATTTTCAAAAGGTACCCAATAATGTGAGTGATTCATCAAAGCATCAAGCAAACAACGACAAAGACTTTTGTTACCTCGTCGGCGTTGGTAATATAAGAGACGACGACAGTGATGTCGTCGAGCTTGCCCCCATAGTAACGGAATCCAGCATCCTGTGCAGCAGTTGAGAAAGGGGTCTGCCTGTCTTTGTCTTGTGCTCGTTGTCGTGCTAATGCGGCTATTTTCTGAGCCGTCACCTGTGGCCCAAACCCAGCTCTCACGGCGTGCACAACTACTGCTGTGATCTCGTTGTTGTAAAGGTTGTCGAACAAACCGTCTGTCCCTGCAACAATTACATCTCCAGGAGCAATGGGGACAGTGAATACCTGAAATGAATGCATATAAGTTTAGGTAGTTCTAACACTCAAAAATGAAATAAATTAAATCATAACTGAATTTTTTCAATTCATCAGGACTATGGTCATAGAAAGATTGTATGGAAACACGGAGATATAGTCAAATATCAATCTGTATCCAGCTATAGACAAGTATCACTAATCTAAGAATAGTAGAACATGATATACAAAAAGTTTTAACAGATGAACATTGATAGCCAAGAAGAGTGGTCTTTGAATATTAACGAATGAACAATGAACTTCCAGATGATAAACAACACAGATTGCACCGTGTGGAAAGTACAAAATAAATACCTGGCCGGAGCTAGGTAGATCGCCATTATTTCCACTCTCGAGCTGAAATGTAAAATTGAAGTCATGCTGCTGCACAGGAGAGCGGAAAATGGTGCAGCCATCTCGAATCACCATAAAGCCACTGTCCCCTAAATTGATAGCACGTAGACCCTGCACAGCAAATGGACATCATCAATGAACCAATCCATGGCTATTGTTCTCTTCAGTTTCTGATCATATATGACATGGTTTTCTCAATAAGCCGAGCCATGAGCTTTTAAATGCTGGAATGCAACTTTTTAGTAAACATGACAAAAATAGTGGCAGAGAAATAAGGACCTCTTCTGTGAGAGCTATGATGCAAGCTGTGGAGGAACCTTTAGCTTTTGTACTAGAGTGAGCTTTCTCCAAGACTCTAGCTGGGTCAACAGATCCCTTGGGCTCCTCCAGGATTGCATCAACCGAATGAGACATGAGTTCCCTCGAAAACAATCCTGCATCAACACCAAGATCGGCCCAACCACCAACGCCATCAGCCACCCCTACAGCTTGCTCATCTGAACAGATGAAGTGAGCATCCTCTCCACCGGTTTCTTCCTTGTCAGGATGAGGCAGGCAGCATGATCCAGAGAGTAGTTTCAGTGACCTTCCTGAGAGCTTTCTGTAGTCCATTACAAGAAAAGAAGATAATTTAGTTCCAGTGATTACTTGCACAAAGACATCATTCATTGCTGTCACAAAAAAATTGGAAACTTGGGAATGAAACATACGATTGTGATGAATCTGAAGCACCAACATCAAGCCTTTCCTCACGGTTCGAGCTTTCATAATTCACATTAGAAGCAGATCCAGCGGAAAAGCATGATGAAGAGGAGCTATGGAAATGCCTCACTGCCATCTCTATGTTCGAAGAAACACCTAACCACTTGTTTGCCGCGTGATATGCCAAGTACCCATAAACTGGAGAGTTAGACGAACACTGTTCAGAACTTGTTGAGCTCATGCTGGCCATTTTGAAACTTCTATTTCCAAAAGCGATGTTCTCACTACTGGTTGAGCAAGGTATACAAGAACCCTTTTTTGAAGTAAGGCTCTTCAAGAGGCTCTCACCAAGAAAAGATTTTTGCACAGAAGCAGCCATGTTGCTGTTCTTTAGCTTCTTCCCTGCTGAGATTGCACCAGTGTCACAAACAGCACGATCGATGTGATAACCAGCAACTTGATATGATGGACCTGAAACAGACGGTACAGAGAAGGTGCGCGAGAGCGCTCCAACGACAGAGATATTCCTCTCCCTGTTAAGCACCAATGAATCAGCTCCAGCTGTAGAAACAATACCGGGTCTCCAAAGCAGCTGGAGGTCTGTCAGGGAAGCAATCCGAACGGTATGCAGCAGCTTATAGTTACAGAAATGAAACTTGCTCTGCCCAATCAGAATATCAATGGACTCCTGAACCCTGTTCTCTGGCCCTACGAATGACCTCTGAATCCCATTCTGAACAGCAGCTCTCAGCTTGGAGAAATTGGCAGACGGCATCTTTTACCTCCTTCCCAAGCAAACCAGTGTCCCTCCTCTACCCCCAAATTCAAGATACAATCTCATAACTAATCAGTTCATCTATTGTCCAAAAACAAACATCGCCCAAAAGATCCACCAGAATCCCCCTGTATCAATCAACAACAGAAAGGGGAGGAGAAGTAAGACGGATCCAATCCAATCTATAAAATTTCCCAAATTGTTCGACTCCTACTATTAATTCTTCAACGGGGAGACTCAGTGATCGGCGAGAAATGGAAAAAGCGGTAAAAGAAAGCATGAACGCACCTTCGTCGGAGGAGAAACCAGAACCAAGAAATCGAAAATGACAACCGCTAGAAATTTCTCAGCTCTTATCCGAGAAAAGAGGAAGCTAAAAGTGGCAAGGCGGCTGGACACGTTGCTGCCTAACGCGAGTAACGACCCCCCTCTCCCCCTTTTCCCCGTCCAACTTTCTTTCTTCTCGGAGCTTCTTCGCTCTCCGTCCGGCGATCGGCCGGGCGGTGAGAAGGAGGCGGCGGAGTCCGGAGAGTTCGGGGGAGGCGAGCGAGCGAGCGATCTTCCACGAAACGCAGAGTTTACGGAAACCCTAAATTCTGAAGACAGTGACAAGTAAAAGCACGGAGGCTTCACGAAGACTGTAAGTTTACGACGGCATCTCAGACAGAAAATCATTTTCTTTTCTTTTTCCAAGTTAATGGACAGTTTTGGCAAGCAAGAAGTGGCTGATTAAGGTGAGGTTGGTGAGGTTAGCGAGGGCATTTTCGTAATAGGAGACCTTGAACTGGGGAAGCACGAGGCATCCAGCGTTACTCCAAGTGGGCCATGTTGATATTCCGAGCTTTTGTTTTGTTGGGTATGGTCCAAACAGATTGGAAGAAAAGCCCAATTATATGGATCTTGTTGGCAGGCTGGCGACAAATCTTCCTTCTTGGATTTTATTTCTTACCTTTCTTTGGACGGAGCAGGGATAAGTAAATACTAGTGACAGCTTACTACTTTTGTAGTAATCAACATGGTTACTAAGGATAAATTGGGTATGAAAAATAAATTATATTAATTAATTTTTTTAATAAATTACATTTTAGGTAATTACAAGAATCTATTAATTACAATTCTCTCTGTCTCTCACTTCCATAATCTCCAGCCACATCCCCTTTCCTTATTTTTCTTAATCTTTCTGCAAAAGAAAAAAAAACACGAAATCACTACCAATCCATTAGACAACCACTACCATTTTGAAAAATATCAATACCATTGCAGAAATAAATCTATACCATTACACGATAACTACCAATATAAATATATACCATTTCACAAAAAATAAATACCATTGCATATTTAAATTAATACCAATCCGCTAGACAACCACTACAATTTCGGAAAACACCAATACCATTGCAGAAATAAATCAATAACATTAGAAAAAAACAATATCATTACACTAAAACTACCAATATAAACAATCTATATCATTACAAAAGTTAAAACAATACCATTGCAGAAATAAATCAATATCATTAAGAAATACAAAACTACCATTTCATAAAATAAAACAAATAAACGAGTACCAAAGAAGTAAACCCATATCTAGAGCCTCTCCTAGAGAGAGAGAGAGAGAGAGAGTTTGAGTAAGAGAGAGAGGGTTGCGGCAGCCGACAGAGAGTAGAGAGATAGATACGACGAATAGATGGACCACAAAAATGAAGCCGATGAGAGAGAAAGAAGGAGCACAGATCTCACCGGCAAAGACGTAAGTTGCGACGGTAGTAATTAGTGATAGGTGGGAGGTGAGAGATGGAGATTTTAGAGCTGGCGGGTGTGGAGACGGGAAGAAACCGCCGACTGATGGAAGTGTTGACGACGATGAAAGTGGGGTTGCACTAGAGTTATTCGGTTAAGGTAGTATATATAGAAATTTATTTTTTAAGGTAAAGTAATTAGGTGTGGTATATTTTTCATTTCCAAAACTACCCTTAATCTAATCTTTACCGTCAATTTAAAAATAGAGTAAAATAGAGTCAATAATGGTGTAGATTTTGGTAGCCACAGTGGCTACTAAAAAATTAATAACCACCCTAACCTATTCCGTTAATACTATTGGTTTGGGATTGATTCTTTGTTTTGTTTTGTTTTTTTGTTTACAAATAGAACCACATTATAGGGTGCGGATAGTATAACAACAGTCCAATTGTTGTTATTATAACAACAATGGTAAATAGGAAAATTACAAAAAATAATTGGATGAGGAATTGTAACAGATCAATTTGACACAATTGTCTCGTTTTGAGACAATTGTACCAAATTGCCTCGTTTGCCAGCAAAAACTTTGGATGGATCAATCTGCCTGAAGTATTTTGAATTGATCCGTTTTGAGTCAATTTCAATTACCTGGGGTGGGGGCAGGTAATTCGAATTGACTCGTTTTAATTGCTTCGTTTATAAAATGAGACAATTGATCAAATTGACTCATTTCTAGATTGATGCATCCAAACAACCAAATTAAATTAAAAATCTGAACTTCTCTTCCTCTCCGCTCCTTTTCCACTTTCCGTTTCCATTATGAATCTTCCGTTGCCGACGCATATCCGAACCATCAGCAACCACCGCTCAATCTCCTCTGCCACCACTCAACCTCCTCCATCCAAGCTGTTTCTCCCTCCTTCTGGTTTCAACGCCGACGTCGATGTCGATCCCTCGATTTCAAAGGCACAAGCATCATCGGATCTTCCTTTCTTCAATTCGTTTCCATCTTTCCCTCAGATTCGCGGGTGTGGCTGTGGAATCGACAATGATTGGGCCAACGACGAGAATAGATCAATCTCGGCTGGAACAGAATGTTCATAAACTAGGCCCCTGTGCAAGTGGAATCCGGCGGGGAGATTTTGGCTGCTGCTGGGAATTGAACTATTGAAGTTGACAGCGGGTGATGTCGTAGACGACGAGGGCACCGACGGCGCAGTGGTAGTAGGCGGAGGTGACGGCCCCGAAGCGCTCCTGGCCGGCGGTGTCCCAGATATGGGCTTTGATTTCCTTGCCGTCGATGTCGACGAGCTGGGTTTGGAACTCGACGTCGATGGTGGCCTTGGAGTTGGCGTCGAACTCGTTGCGGGCGAAGCGGGAGAGCAAGTTGGATTTTCCCACAGCCGATTCGTGATTCTCCAGAGGCGATAGAGACTTGAGAGAGTGGCTCGCATAACCAATGCTGTTAGATGAACTTTTCACAATGGAGGTTTCAGGTTTCAACATTTATCATGCCTACTGTTCCTTTTCCCCATTTCATTTGTGTCTCACCTCAACCAATTGGTGAATTGGGAAAAGGGTTACAGTAGCTAGCGGAGATTGGTTGTAATGCAAAGATTATAATAAGCAAACCAAATGCTAAAGTTTCCATCTTTCCAAGATACTAAAGTCGTGGGGATGGGGAAGAAAAAGCAGATGATGTTGATGAAGAGAGATTAGCAAATAGCTCCAGACTGCAGAGGTGGTGAGGAAGAAGCTTCTGGTTAAAAGTCGGGGAATATAAATAAAGCAAGCTTAATTAGTTTAGTTAAGCCAAAACTTAATTCAGGGTAAAGTCTCACATCAATTAAGCTTTCCCTTGATTTCTTCGTACGTCCCAGTTCTGAAAGCAACTTGAAAGCTCTTATATGCAGAATTATTACTACAAGAATCAAGGAGAGAATGGTAGTAGTGGTGATGCAAGTAACATGAAGTTCAGGTACCCAAAGTATATATCTACGTTGAATCATCTCCGCTACTATCTGCCGGAGCTGTACCCCAAGCTGCACAAGGTGTTATTTCTGGATGATGATGTTGTTGCCCAGAAAGACTTGACTGGGTTATGGAAGATCGATTTGGATGGACGAGTGAATGGAGCTGTTGAGACTTGCTTTGGTTCGTTTCATCGTTATTCACACCTTACAAACCAAACCATAGAATTTTCAAAAACACACTAGAAATCTCATAATGCAAACCACAAAAACAAACCAGAAACGTTTTAATGCAGACAAAAAATCTATTAAAACAAACCAGAAACCTCACAAAGCAAACCATAGAATTTTCAAAAACACACGAGAAACCTCATAATGCAGACCACAAACAAGATAAAGCAAACCACAAAAACAAACCAGAAACGTCCTAATGCAGACAAAGAAATCTATTAAACAAACAAGAAACCTCACAAAGCAAACCACAAAATTTACAAAAACACACCAGAAAGCTCATAATGCAAACCACAAACACGATAAAGCAAACTACAAGCACAAACCAGAAACGTCCTAATGCAGACAAAAAATCTGTTAAAACAAACCAGAAACCCCGCAAAGCAAACCACATAATTATAAAAAACACACCAGAAACCTCATAATGCAAACCACAAACAGGATAAAGCAAACCACAAAAACAAACCAGAAACGTCCTAATGTAGACCAAAAATCTATTAAAACAAACCAGAAATCCCGCAAAGCAAACCAAAATTTTTTCGAAAGCATGCCAGAAACTTCTTAATGCAAACCAGAAACTCGATAAAGCAAACCACAAAATGCATAAAAAAATATGAGAAACCAAATCATAAATCTCACAATGCACACCAAAATATCCAGTGATCGTTGACCGTTCACCGGTCAATGAAAATCGTTGACCAAACTCCGATGATCGTTAGTGAGTAGATTCCGGCGCCGATAGGCATATTCCGACCCCGATGACTAGATTCTGACGCCGGTAAGCATATTCCGACGCTGGTAAGCATATTCCAGCGACGATGAGCATATTCTGATGACAAAATAGCATATTCCGACGACAAAAAGCATATTCCGGTGACCGGTGGCCGAATTCCGCCGACCAAAATGGGCAAAAAATTAAAAATTGTTTTTTTTTATTTTTTTATTATTATTTATACATTTTTTCATAATGACAATTATACTCCGTTTTGATTTTACACTAGGTCAATTAAGCTAATAAAAAGTCATTACAACTCTAGATTTCTATTGGTTGGAGACTAGTGTTGTTACACAAGGGAGTTATTATCTTGTTGGTTGATGACCGGTAGTTGACGGAACAACATTGAGATTTGGAATAAATAAAATCATACTACAACAATTGAATCATGTAGCCACAAATTATCTTGTTGCTATATACAATTACGAGATATTTTAGTTACTAAACTTAATAGGGCTAATACCACCGGAAATACCATCCTTTAGCGAAAGTGCCATTAATATTACATCGTTTTCGATATGCCATTTGTATACTAAAATGTTTTCTCCGTTAGTTGGGCCGTTAAACATAACTGGCGACTTTTCAACGCCCAGTCAGCGCTTAATAGGATCCTACGTAGCTCGCTGACGTGGCTTATTTAATGAAATGAAAAAATTAAAAATAAAAACAATTCTCACCTCCCAGTCCTTCCCCCTCCACTAATATCATCTTCTTCTCCAAATTTCCCCAACCCCCCTAAAAAGCCAGCACAGCTCCGCCTCTGCAGCCGGCAAATCCACCACGCCCACCGCCGCCGTCGCTCTAGCTGTCACCCCAACCTCTTCCCCGGTCATCGTCCCTCCTCCTAAGACCATCCCATCTCCTTCCACTTCCAAGACTCCTGCGCCCAGCCTTCCCCATTCTGCCACGTCGTCTCCCTCCACCTCTCCAACTGTTCCGACGACGTTTCCCTCTCCTTCACCGCCCTCAAGTCCCTCTCCACCCTCCAGTCTCTCTCCTTCGCCGACTGCCCCATTACCGCTATCCGTTTCCCTTCAGATCTCGACCTCGCCCTCTGCTCACCATCACGAATGGGAATCTCACGGGCTCGATTCCGAAGCATTTGGTCGAGAATCTCACCCGTGTGGATCTTTCGGGCAACAGGCTTAAAGGAAGGATACCCAGTTCAATTGCAATCCTCGAGAATCTAGAAACCCTCAATCAGGTAGAAAGATCTCCTTTCGGCACAGGAGCTCCATTGTTTCCAAAACCATCAGTTCCGCCCCCGCGATCAAATCAAACCAACTGTTCCGCCTCCTTCTCCTGGACAACAATCGGCTCCTTCGGCTGCGGATTCATCGGATTCGGCGGCAATTGGGGAGGAGGAATGGCAGAGTAATGCTGCGGCGGCGGCGGCCTGTGTGGAGGCTTGAGATTGGGAGTTTCCGAGGAGAGGCCTGATGCTGTAAAAAAGATAGAGGATTGTGGAAATAGCTACTTCGAGGAAGTCGGCTAGTCGTCACCATCGATGGAGAAGGAATGTGGCAACTACGGCGGTGAAAGTTTGGTCGTCGGAGGGCGAATTCACGGTGGGGCGCGGGAGGGGGGGGGGTGTTTAAAATTATTTTAATTTTATAATATAATAATAAATAAATAATAAATAATATTTTCAAAAATGTTATTCTTTTTTTTTTCCAATGTGGCATCCACTTGTCGCTTACGTGGACACAATGTTGGCCACCGTCAGGTCAACCATCAATTCTAACGGTCAACAGAAAATTGCGTAACACAAATGACGCAAACCCCTAACAGGTTGGAATATTTTTGTGTTTATTGAAAGCATGTACTATAAATAGCACTTTCGTTAAAGAATGGTATTTCTAGTGGTATTACCCCAACTTAATATTCATATCAAGTAGTGGCAGAGCTAAAAGATTGCTACACATTTCATTTGTGTATCTAGTTGTCATACATCTAGCTCAATACTCAATAGTGTTGATTAGTGACCAAAACTTCAAATTGTGCTCGAATTAAGGGATCGTTTGGAGAATATGAGTTTAAATCTATAGATTGTCAATAACTTAAAAATTCTAACGCTACGAATTGTTTAAAATAGATTTGAAAATGTTTGTTATTTGGTAATTGTGATTGTTAACATTCAATGAAATATTAACATTGTGATTTTTATTTAATTTTATATTAAATAATATGTTTATCCTTAATAAAAAAGTTATAGTAGTTTGAGAAATATTAAAAACTTTGTTGATAAATATATTTAATATGATAAATAAATAAAAGAAAGAAAGAGAAAAAGTAGGAGGAAAAAAATCTCACGAATCAAGATTTAGAATCTCTTTGATTATAAGAGATTTGATATCCGTAGATTTTAGATATTTGAAATCTCTAAAGATAAAATTCGCAATACAAAAAGCAACAAAAAAAACACAACTTTTTATAAAATCTACGAATTAAATGAATCGACTCGCTAAATCCATTCTCCAAACGACCCTAAATATAGGCAAATTAATTTCCAAAATGGAACTAAGGAAAAAAGCTAATAATCATAAGTTAGCATATTTTAAGACAAAATGGCGGAGACTTAAATTCCCTGCAAAAATAAAGGGAAATTGAGCCATTGAGAACATGCACATTTGGTGATTTGGTCTCCAAATTCGAAGTTAATTACTAGTATAGCTAATTTGAATTTACATTGATGGACACTTAAAGTGCAGATTTCTTCTATAAAAAAGCAATAAATTGTGGTGGGTAGGGATGGCAATCAAACCCATGGCCGCGGGTAGTCGACCGCTCCCGACCCAGTCAACGCGGGGAATCCCCGCTTTGACCGGGTATGGGGCGGGTATGGGTAAAACCCGCAAAAAGTTTGATGGGTATGGGGCGGGTATGGTTTTAGTCTCCCCCGCCCCATACCCATACCCATACCCGCCCCACCAAGAAAATTTCTTCACATATAAAAAAATGAGGTATTTTACAATGCTATATAGCATTGGTGCTATAGGTTTTTGCCTTTATGGTACAACTTGAAATTGTACATTTAACGTTATGGTACAACTTCAGATTGTACCTATACTTTTTGTACAAATTCTTTTATGGTACAACTTAAACTTGTACCTTATGTGATGGTACAACTTCAAGTTGTAAAATTGTACCATAACATAATGATACAAATTCCTTTATGGTACAACCTAAACTTATACATTTAATGTTATGGTACAACTTAAAGTTGTACATTAAAGCACCAATGCTATATAGCATAGTAGAAGTGCTCATAAAAAAATATGTAGATTAAATTGTAATCTATCAATGATGATGATGATAACTCGAGAAAATAAATAGTATAAATGCAATTGAGTAATCACCTTAAACAAAACCTAATTCATTTCCCTCAATTCTCCTTCTACTCTTTCACTTTCCCCCTTGTCAACAAGATTATGTTAGTTAATTATTACTTAGTAAATGTATCAAGAGTTAGAGCATAATAATTTAAAAATATTATAGTCTATATTATGTATTAATGGATGTTTTAGGAT